CACACACATATATCCATTTTTTCTAAGGTATGCCAAAATGTTCAAAAAGTTTTGAAACGTAAAGATATATAAAAATTTTCATTTTCGATTTTTTGCGATTACTATAAAGTAAGGATTTTTTAAGCAATACTATTTTAAAGAAGAAGAAAAATGATGTGTATTCAGACATTGCCTTAAATCGGGTGGCATCGCAATAAAGAGACCGGTCACATCATCAAATTTTTAACGAAAGTATTTTTTTTACCTTATTTAGTCTCTTTGGTTTTTGAGTACGATTCGCAACCAATATCTTTCGAACAGTTTTTGCATTTAAAAAAAATGGTTCAAGATTATGGGCTAAAATGTGGACACTTTTCGGATAATTACAAAATTACATCGAATGTAACTCCTTTAAATTTTTGAACTCGGTCTAGCTATTTTTAAGAAAACGTCGATAAAAGATCAAGAATCGGCTCTTTCTATCTGACACAATCTTATTTTTTCCAAATTTGGTCTCATTCGATTTATAACGACTTGAAACGCCGAGAAAACATAAATTTAGCAAAACTGTTTTTTTCGCGAAAACATTAACTTCTCCTTCAGGATCCCTGTAATTAAAATATGTTCTTTAGGGGTGACAAAAATCTCTAGAATTGTATTCCATATATAAGATGAGAATAGTAAATTGAAAGAAGGTATTGATATATAATCTGAATTTCGAATTGTAAGAACTGTTAACGGTTCTGTAATTCTCGTTAAGCATGTCTATATCTAATTCGAGTTAAGTAATAAGATCACGTCTTGGAATGGATGTAATAAGCTGGGGTAATTAGCCTTTGCGCAGGTCGTCGCATTTCAGTTTCAGTTACAATCGCACGTTTTGCATGTAAAGTCGCTTTTGTCTGGCCACGGTGTGAGTGTCGTGTCATTAAGCTGACACATTATGTATTTGGGGCAAAAAATCACGCGTACCGGAATGCGAGCTGGCGACGAATGTCCAACGATTGGGGGTGGAAATGATTTGGCTGCCCTACGGTCGACGACAAATATAGCAGGTAGAACGGGGGCGGAAAGGTCCAATCTGGCTATTAACTAATGGTGCATGGCATCGTGCCTTAAGGCAAATTGCTGGAACTTTCCGTATCGTAATTAAAAATTCGAAGAGCGTATTCTACAAACAACTTATGTGTATGTTTACAAGAAATCTGTTCGTTTTTTTTTTAAATTTGATTTTTTTAATGGTTTTGAAATTTGTTCAAAATTTTGAAAATTTTTCAAAAGTTCGAAATTCTTTGGGATTTTTGAAAAAAATTGTTCCTTTTTAAGTTTTTGAGAATTTGAAAAGTTTTGAAAAAATCCGATTCTTTTTGAAAGTTTTGAAATATTCTTAAATTTTTGTAAGAAATCGTTTTTTTTTAATTTCAGTATTTTTAGAAATTTAGATTTTTTTGAAAATGATGAAAAATTTCGAAAATTTGAGTTATTTGAAACTTTATTTTTTTTTGAAAATTTTGTTTTTTTTTAAATTATCAAAACTACGCAATTTTTTGTAAAACCAGTTTTTGCATACCGTCTACATAAGCAAAAGTTTTTTTGAATTAATCTAATCAGATGATCCGAGGCAAGGGAAGATGATATAGCCAGAAGCCAAAAAATTCCACTATTTTTTTAACTTCTTGTAGGGTAAGTTATAATAATCGCAAATAAATCGAAAATGAAAATTTTTATGTATCATTACGTTTCAAAAGTTTTTATACATTTTGGCATACCTCACATAAAATGGATGTATGTGAGTGTATCGGTATATATAAGTGCAGATACAATTTTTTGTCGACAATGTCGGGAATCATCAGGATCAACCGATTTGAATGATTCAAAAATATTCGATTCGATATTTTGCCAAAGGCAGATGCAGTCGTTTTGAAGATTCGGGGCAAAAAGTGCCAAAAACGGTAATTTAATTTTTGAGAGTACGAAGCGTCCGATTTCAATAATTCAAAAAACATTTTACCTATAGCTACTGATTACAGTTGACGTCCATAAGTATGTTTGAAAGAAACCAATTGGTAATCGCATTGATTAATTTTTAGTGAAAGCGAAAATTTTATTTTTGAAATGAACAGTTGAATATTTTATTTAAATAGCTAAATCACAAATTTTATCGATTAAGTTGATACGTATCGGGATGTTCGTGCAACTTGCCTTAAGGCAAAATGCTACTTGGAACTGGCTAATTTTACTATTTTTTGTAATTATTTTAACAGTTTTGTTTAACTCTTTTTTCTAGACTTCCCTTATTATTTATCTTTTGCCACAGAGATTTAAAAATTTCACGCAATGAATATTTGAAGAATTTCTTACCGCAAAAAATCAATCAATTTTAAATCCGTAGCATTATATTATTATTTTTTAAACAATTTGTCATACTATTATAGGTATTTTTTTTCTAAAATCGCTGTAAATTTTATTACATAATTTTATTGTTAGACTTTATGTAGTTTTAGTTTTGTACTAGAATGATTTCTATTAAAAGTTGTTTTATTGCATCTATTTTGAAATCGGTTATATATATATATATATATATATATATATATCTTTTATATAAGCCATCACAAAATAGACGCAATAAACTAACTTTTAATAGAAATCATTCTCGTACAGTGGATTACTGCTATTGTAGCGTAAGAATAACTGCAAGCCTTGAATAATAAACAAAATGGCTATAAATAAACTTGTACTATTTTTGAAATATAAATTTGAAAAAATAAGTTAAACAGCACGAAAGTATGAAACATAAATGAACTGTCATTTGAAAAAATAGCAACTGAAATATATAATTTTACACACCATTACAGAAGAAAAAATGGTTGGAGAAGGAGACAACTCATATTCTCGAAACGCTGAAAATATTTATAAATTGAATTATTATGTATATTTATTAAATTCTGGTTTAATAAAGAAAGTTATGTTTTTGATAGAAAATATAATACTAGTTGCTATTTTATATTTTCTCAACGTGCCATGTCATTCTGAATCGTTTGAGACTTTGGAATAAAATACTGATAATGACTCTTTATTAATTTTAAACCAACGAAGAAGTATATGTTTTCGATAGATAATCCAACTTGCTAATATCATGTTTTCTTGACGTTTCAAGTCATTCTAAATCGTTTGAGATAATTTTGGAAAAGCCGATATTTGATTTTTCGTCAACATTTTGTCCAAAACGACGGATGTACAAAGATCCACCAAGCCATTTTTTAGGATTGAAGAAATATCCTTAAAATTTAGAAAAAAAATGCAAAAAATTTTAATAGAAATTTTAAACCAAATTTGAAAATATAAAATAGAAAAATAACATGGGAATTATGCTGATTAGTTTTTGGGAATGATTGCCGGGGTAATTTCTTCGCAATTGATTAATAAAAATTTTTTTTGGACGATTTTGATTAAACTTCATGGAGGTAGAGTTCTTAACATAGGCACTTATTAGATGCCTACGACAAGTGGTTAAATTTTAAAAATTAATTGAAGTTTGGATTAATTGCTCGCACTTTCACTTTCAGAATATACTCCCTGAATGTATTGGATGCATCCTTTTTTTCAATAATGTTTAATATTTCCATCATTTGTTGAAAATAATTAATATGTTTGGAAAATGTGTCCAAATTGAATAACCTGCAAAGTTTCACACATGTTGAGAAGTGGTTGCAACTTGCCTTAATTCAGAATGCCACTTACCCCCCTAGTTTATTTTGTAATTTGGCTGTTTACATTAAATATATTCATATGTGTATTTATAGCATGATTTTGATATTTACAAAAATATGATCTCATCGTATATGACGATTAAAATAAATAATCCCTTCCTCCCTTGACTGGATCGTATATTATATTGTATGTAACCCGAGAAACCCCTTGAAATAGCTAATTACGGCCGTCATTACTTCATCACGGCTTTGTATTTTGTGCAAGGGTTGCGTTTACGCATTTATTTCAACGTCCTTTAAATATTTATCTCAAAACTGTACTCGCTAAATGTATATTCGCAATCAACATTGCAATTTTAATTTACGCATGAAGGGATTTAAGGATTTACGGAATTTTTATGTAATTGAAAATAAAAACAACGTATACGACGGATGTTCTAGTTATTAACTAAACTATAAACGTGTTTGTATAAAATTAAAAATGATGTATATGTTTAATATTAAACGAATTGCTGTATTTTGCAGAATTATGTCAATTGTGAAATGCAAATTATTAAATATTTAAATTAAATATTATTAAAGTAAAATAATTTATTAGAATTTAAAAAAGGTGATTTTTTATAACCATTTAAAAGTAATGATCAGAAATAGTGTATTAAATCCTGGACTTATCATAGTATATAATACCGTGGTGATTGCTTAATCCGTAGGTATAACATAAGTGCTTATGACGTCACTATCCTAATCAGTGTAATAAAATCAGTGATCGCAGGGTTTGTGACGATGTGCGAGCATATTACAAAATGATTAATTAGCATATAAATGTAGGCCTAAACGATTCGGTAATATCATACGTCAACGTCACGGACGTGGTGGATTTCGTTCGATGAGGACATCGTATGTTATGTGTAAATAAACAGAATTGGTCTATCGTAGGAGATGAGTGCCCTGCAACAATACGTCGGTACGGTCGGTACGTCGGTAGAGTCGGTACACATTCGTCGGTACGTCGGTATTCTAGGCCGTGAAACTAGTAGGTGAAGAATGCAACGTTTATCAAATTCAGACAAAAGGCAAAGGCAACATAAATACAATGACGTCACCGTATCGGTGGCTCTCTTCTAAAATCGATGGCGGTTCGCTCGTACCGCCGTTCGTTTGTTCGGCGTCAGTTCGGTCTCGAATAGCATGCGGCGAGTGTGCGCAATGTCTTTCAGCCCGTATTGTCCCGGTATTGGCCTCGATGCGTAGAGTCCCAGCTCATTGGCTCAGTTAGCGCGAGACGTCCGAGGTCCGACGACCAGAACTGCGGTGTGAGCGTGTATGTAGTAACTACATGTGTTTGAAAGACAAACGGTTTCGGTTCAGTTCGGTTTCGGTCAGTGAGGATCAGTCAGTTAATGTGAAGTGCGTGTCAATGCATCCGGGCAGCTACCGGTCGGATCCGACGGAGGTTTCATGCGGTGCGGACGCTAGCTCGTCGTGTCGAAGAGTGCGATGATCTGAGAGGAAGATTCACCACCTTGCGGCATGGCCTCGGTAGCCGCTTGGCTTCCATTTGCTCGGGCGGCGGCCATAGGCTGGGTTCCAGTAGCGGCCCATCCGCTACCGCCGCCGCCGGTCATCAAGGACACCCGCAAAGCGGACGACGAAAAGCTCATCGTCAACGTCTCCGGGCGACGGTTCGAGACCTGGCGCAACACGCTCGAAAAGTATCCCGACACTCTGCTCGGTTCCAACGAGCGCGAATTCTTTTACGACGAGGATGGTAAGGAGTACTTCTTCGATCGGGATCCGGACATATTCCGGCACATCCTCAACTATTACCGCACCGGCAAGTTGCACTATCCGAAACACGAATGTTTGACCAGCTACGATGAAGAGCTGGCCTTCTTCGGCATCTTGCCGGACGTTATCGGCGATTGCTGTTACGAAGACTACAGGGACCGCAAACGTGAGAATGCGGAACGTCTCATGGACGACAAACTTTCAGAGAACGGCGATCAAAATCTGCAACAGCTGACGAATATCAGGCAGAAGATGTGGCGTGCGTTCGAAAATCCTCACACGTCGACTGCTGCTTTAGTGTTCTATTATGTGACTGGGTTCTTTATTGCCGTTTCAGTGATGGCCAATGTTGTAGAGACCGTGCCATGCGGACATAGGCCAGGCCGCGCGGGGACATTGCCGTGCGGCGAACGTTATAAAATAGTGTTCTTCTGTTTGGACACAGCATGTGTCATGATATTTACCGCCGAATACTTGCTGCGATTGTTTGCAGCTCCGGACCGTTGTAAGTTTGTTCGCAGCGTGATGAGTATTATCGATGTGGTAGCTATTTTGCCGTACTACATCGGTTTGGGTATAACTGATAATGACGATGTGTCTGGAGCGTTTGTCACGCTGCGTGTTTTTCGTGTGTTCCGAATATTTAAATTCTCGCGGCATTCGCAAGGTCTCCGGATCTTGGGATACACGCTGAAATCATGCGCTTCCGAATTAGGCTTCCTCGTTTTCTCATTGGCGATGGCCATCATCATATTTGCCACGGTCATGTTCTACGCCGAGAAGAATGTGGACGGGACCAACTTTACGTCGATACCAGCAGCTTTTTGGTACACCATCGTCACAATGACTACCTTGGGGTGAGTTAGAATTACTCAGCTTTTAAATTGACTACTCGTAAGCTTCATGACTATAGTAACATAAGAAATTGCATGATAGACAGATAAATATATACTTCATTAACAAATCCTGTAGTTGAAGTTTCACAATTGTACTAATATCACATTGTACAATCAAAACCGTCAAATATTATATATATATATATATATATATATATATATATATATATATATATAACGCTATTCTTTTAACCTGAACACATCAACTATTTGTTTTGAGAAAAATAACTCTAGGTTCATTTAAATTGAATGCGAATGAAAGAGTTAACAGGCTGAACAGTTCAACCGCTCGTTAGCCTCTATATAGAATATTCTATTAGAATTCACTTTGAACGCAAGTGATTACAAGTCTGCACTCGACGATTTAGCATAATTTCACATTGTTATAATAAAGATTACAAAGATAGTAATTTTAGAAAATCTAATATAATTTTTCAATAATCATAAGCCTAACATAACTATCATGTAGAAATATAATAAAAAATATTAACAAAACAGATGATGAGCATATTCTTAAATTTTATAAATTAATATTTTATATCATTGAAAATCGTGATATTAAATGACATATTCCATGCAAATAAAGCACGTGATTACAACTTAATCATATGTCAAAATCTTTTTTTTATTAATTTCACTGGTACACAAACAAGGTACGCAGTTTCATACTTCGTGTAAAATTCATTCTGATTAGTACTAGAATAATCTAAATCATTGAAAACGACAAGAAGTTTGGTACAGTAAACATCAAATTTTGATGATAAAAACATGACTTTACCTTCTCCGGTCCATTTCGATATAAATAATTTTGTTTGATGCGAGGAAGCAAAGCGCGCCGTCGGGCAAAAAGCATCTCCCCAAATTCATAATCAAGAATTCGCTGGAGGCTAGCGGGCGGTTTAACAAAACAGAAAAAGCTCGCTGATAGAACGCGGACCGCATTCGAAACGAACCCTCTTGAGGATTAGTCAGCCGTCGGCGGTCCGTGCAAAAAGCGAACGTTGGGTCAGTGTGTGATTTTCCGCGTCCGCAGGTACGGCGACATGGTGCCGCAGACCATCGCCGGCAAGATCGTCGGCGGCGTCTGCTCCCTCAGCGGAGTGCTCGTCATCGCCCTTCCCGTCCCGGTCATTGTCTCCAACTTCAGCAGGATCTACCATCAGAACCAGAGGGCGGACAAACGAAAAGCTCAACGTGTAAGTTACATATCTCAACATTTTATGTACAAAACCAATAACCAATATACAAACTTGGTATTGAATTTTTTGATGGAACCAGAAGTTCCTTCTAGACTCTTATAATGTAACGAAAGCATGCTATAATTAATTTTTCAATCTAATTTATCTTAATAGTAATATTTGGTATAATCTGGTACCGATAAATATTTTGGATTCAAAATTCTGATTATCGTACGTTTTAAGTATTCTCGATTTTTTGAGCAATTAACCAAATCTATCATAAGCTCATGTTTCCCAAGAGACGATAATAAGTATCAATTATGAAGATTACGATTATGAATAAATATTAGGAAAATCTAACTTATCGATAGAGTAATATTTGTTATAATCTAGTACCAATAAATTTTGGACACATAATTCACATTATCTACTTGTTTACTGTTCAATGCCCGTTTTGAGAATTCTTGATATTTTAAAATACAGTATTAACCAAAATCATCATAAGCTCATATTTCACAAGAGACGATAGTAAAGTATCAATTATTATTCTTTCTGTAATTTTCAATATGAGCACAATGCGGTTAGGAAATAAATTAGAATATTGGTCAACAAGCAATATTAGATGAATTTCATTCTATTCAAATCTCATAAATGTAACTTTCTTTGCTTTGGAAATGAAGCACTTCATTTCTTAAAAATCTGTCTACCTATTGGGGGTAGTTTTAGGTAATAGTCTTGTTCGTTAAAGGTTAATTTAATATATTTTTCTGAATTTTAATATAATGTCAGGAAAGATACTATATTTTGTTTTACTGTAAAATATCTTAAGATAACCAAATTTTTCGACATAGGAATAATCATAATTCATATTTTTACTATAATCTGGTACCAATAAAGGTTTTCCAAAGCAAATGTCTGATTTTCTACTTCCTTGTTGTTTAATCTCCACATTCATAATTTTTGATTATGAATAAAATGTTATATATTTATACATATTTAAATATCGATAAAATCAATCTTAAGAACGTTTCCCTAAAACATCGTCGTGAGATGATAATAAGAATCAATTAAGGTTTACATTTATGACCATAGCTTGATAATTTAATTTAAGAAATGTTTTTAGTTTCTAGTACCATATCAGGAACGATGATAATATTTATTTGCTGTAAAGAATACTATGCTAATCAAAATTTACGATTCAGATTTTTTTTCTAATATTTGCTCCTATTCCATCCTGAACATAAGCAAATTTTTGCTAGTAATTATAGTTTGTCTAATTTAAATGCTAATTCAGAGATCGGACAACCGGGTATGAATTCAGAAATATTAAAAAAAATAATTTATACTTATCTTAAACTTATACTAGTAAATTTTTTGAAACCAAAAGTTTTATTACCTTTTTTGTATTGTTCAACATTGGTATTGATAATTTTCGATTTTCTAAGCAATTTTAAAATATACTTTTACGTTTAAGAATCTCAGGTTTCACAAAATCATCCGTCGTGATTTTAGATGAAAATAAGTATCAGTTACAAATTTTACGGTTGTAGGCATCATCAAATTTTGGTGATAAAATGATGAAGATGCGAAGACTTTCTTATTGATAATAAGTATCAATTACAAGGTTTTCGTTTGTAGACATATTTATACATTCATGTTTGTAGACATTTATATTTATATTCATGCGGGTACATGATTAGACTCATTACAGTAAAAGATCAATATCAATATTGAACTAAATCGACATTAAGCTTAATACTAAAATTATGTTATATAATTAATAAAAATAGAAAAAATATGAACAGTTTGGTTGAGTTATGATAATAAAATATTTCGGATTTGTGGATTGATAAATGTCACAGATTGAAAATTTAATTTTATTTAATTTGGATAACAGATATCTTGCTTTGGGCTTTTAAAAAAAAAACTTCAGAGCTTTTCATCCAACCATACCCATATTTACATATAATGTAGGTACTTACAGCTTCATTAACAATAAATATATTGTTGTTCATGATGCATTGAAATTTATAGAAAAAATATTCGATTATTATTGAACCAGTTAACTGGCGCTTGTTGAACTTGTCAGGATCGACGTGAACTATTAAAAAAAATATCCTTTGATGTAAAATGTTGGGTAAACGTGAAATTTTGGGTTAAAATGTCATTTATCATATTTATTTTCTAGTGCCATGGGTTCAAAATATTCTGAATATCTTAAAATTTGAGAATATGTTTTTTTTTCAAAAATTGCAACTTAAATAACCAATGCTCACTGATTTATACGCATAACGAGTATACTCAAAATTCGTCAATACACAACATTTTGCTGCAGCTGCATGACGAGTATACTCGTCAATCACTGTTGACTGGTTAATAACATATACAAACATATAAAAATATATGTTTTATTTTTATTTTAAATTAAGAGTGCTATAAGCTTTTTTGTCAATTTGACCTAATGCTAGACAGTTCTGTAAATGGCAACCCAAACGGTAGACTTATCTCTATATGATAAATTGTTATTACAATTTCTGTAATAGGGTGAATATTTATTGATGCAATGTCGGATCAGGTCTATTTTCACTTGGAAACATATTGCTATCTATATTTTTAAGTGAAAACTGTTGTCTCTACTGCTTGACAACAGGCTTCACGAAGCGGGATCGAACCCGGGACCTTGGATTTAGGTCCAGTCGTTCTGGCAACTTATCCACGCGCGAGATCATACGTTTTTTAAACCCAGTCTTATTTTATACATTTTGTTAAAATTTTTAATATTTGATCGGTATTGTTGTTTGTTTGATTTTGATGCAAAATGTTTTATTTGTATCCACCCGCGCAATAGTTTTACGATGATATCATATGAAGCTCTAGTCAAATTGTATTTGCGCGGCAGGAGTTCCTAAATTACCTGAAACGTACTAGCAAATTAAAATTCAATGCTCGGAGTTAATACAGTTCAAAGCTCGATGATTACGTATATTTGAATGTCACATGAATACCGCCGCCGCCGCCCACATAAATTTTAAGTGCTTTTCCTTTCTGCGGGCGTTTTCGCGCACTTGCTCTCGCAATTCGCAAGAGATAAAAAATCATATTATGTAAGAATAACAGGACGTCATGTTTTTATTTCACGATTGCTCTCCGTACGGCATTATGTCCTCACAGTCAGAGCTCGTCCCATAAAAATCCCTGTTGTTCATCTGATTCCATTTGGCAGGCGCCCGCAGCGCACACACAACACACGACGTAATAATCATCTTCCGCGATGAAACTTTATATGTATAATTTTCCGCGCCAGAACTGAACTGAACTGAAACTCCAACGACGATGTGAGGTCTCGTTCGTTTTTCATTCGTTTGTTTGTTGGTTTTGTCTTGATTTGTTTCGGGGTATTGTATTACTTGCCTGCTCTCTAAGCGAACGGCAACGTAATACCGTCAAAGAAATGCGATGCCGACTGTAACAGCTTTTTTGTGCTTCTTGCCGAGATTAATTGTACGTTCGGAAAAAATTCATTATTTCGTATAAATGCTAGCTTTGTTGTACAAGTTGTACACTAACATTTATTTTTATCATGTCCAATATTTTACTTGTTCTAATTTATCAATTTTCCTGCTTTATTAAATCCATCAATTAATTTTTGCTTTTACTCTCACAGTATATTGATATACTCTGAGCTAACTGCGGACAAAATAACTGAGCCTGCAAAAAGCCATTAATGAATAAATTTTGTCACCACGATGAATTCATAATGACCGGTTTTATAACCACGTGTGCTTTCCTACCGCAGAAAGCTCGGCTGGCGCGAATCAGGATAGCAAAGGCGTCGTCCAGTGCGGCGTTCGTAAACAAGAAAAAGGCGGCAGAAGCTAGAATGGCAGCCCAAGAGTCCGGCATCGAGTTGGACGACAACTTCCGGGAAGAGGACATCTTCGAATTGCAGCATCATCACTTGCTGCGATGTCTGGAGAAAACCACGGTAATTTATGTTCTTACAAATGTTTATGTGCCAGCGCCCTTTCCCGCCTGTAACGCTTCTAACACTGTCGTTAAGCCGTAACGCTCAATACCCGACTCGGTACAAATGCCTTCGTCTTCAGACAAAATGAACGCTAACACTATGTTACCCTTGCATGCCGCTACCGATACAAGATGTAAGGCACCTGTATCATCATCACAGACGCATTCAGTACTAATCCAAGCGCACATTCCGTAATAGTCCTATGCAATTTAAAATAGTTGACATGCCACTTGATTTGAGATCAAGTAAATTAGGATAAATTTTGAAAGCGTGATTCGTTTTTAGGATCGGGAATTTGTCGAAATGGAAGTACCGTATAACGGTCAACCAAAGAGACCAGGCTCACCGTCGCCCATTGCGAGTCCGGCTCATTCGACCAATAGCAACTTAGGATTGCTACATGCTTGTTGTGGACGTTGTTGCCCCCAAAAGTATCAGGTGTGATTCAATATACACTCTTTTGCTTTGTAGGATGTGTATTTTAATTATATTATATGTGAACATTGTGAATATATATTCTTCATGTACATGTTAATATTAATTAGACTACCCACGTCTTACATGTGGCCTTTATGTTTTAGTATTATATGTAGTTGTAGTTAATTTTAAGTCAATTTTTTACGATTTTAGTTTAGCATTGTAATTGTTGCTGCTACCGTTTTGGTCATGTAATATATATTTCATTTTGTTACGCGAGCACGCTTACAGTTTTCTTATATCGGACTGCCAAATTTAATCCACAACCTTTATCCTTCGACGGCACCGATCGATATTTATTTTGGAAAATGATAAATTCGCCTGTATGATTGATCTAATGAGCTTAAGAAAAGTACACAATGCATCGATATGAATAAATAGTATTTATTAGTAGCTTTTTATATCTATCATTAATTATTCCATGAAATAATCAATTGCTATCAAATATATCAACATTCCCAATATTCAAATATTTGTACATATGATTAGTTTTAGCAAAAACGTCTTTTTTAAATAAAAGTTTGTGATCACTTAAAAAATTGAAATAATTAGTACATGTAAGACTTTATTAAATTTTATACTAGCACATGGAGCATACAAGTGTTTTCTCGATTTCAAACATTTCGATGGCCATCTGACATCGGAAGAGTTCACACCTTGGCAATAAAGTTATTATCAACGGTTAATTTCCGAGCAGTTGTTTAAATCGAATGTAAACTTTGGAAAATATGCGGCATGTATGTGCGGTGAATTTTCTCCGATCTCTGATACACACCGATGCTGAATCTTTCGGATTATTTATACAGCGTCGGTTATTTATGCAGCCGAGTAGTTTGATATACCGCACGTTGTGCGTTATAAGATGCAGTCTTCGTGGCTGCTCGACTTAATGTGGAGATAGTCGAAGAGTTGGCAAACTATTTTTATAGACCGTTGGACACATGACTAGGATATTTATTTTTATTTTTTTTCAACAGTAAATAGCACACAGAACTATGAACTTACTGATTCACGTAAGAGCGACCCATCGGTTAACCATTCTCCTTTGTGGCAATTATATGCCCCCAAAAGTAAGGTGACCCGGGTCCCGGTTTGGCCGGGACAGACCCGGGTTTCAATTCGATGTCCCAGATTTAGAACTTAATAATAAAATTATAATTACCCAAAAAATATCTGAAAATGATATTTACAACAAATATGCTTATAAGTAAGTTATTCAGCATAAAGAACACGCTCTTCTCCCGGTCCCGAATTATTATAACAAAAAGTAACCATCCTGGATGACCTAAAAATATTGTCACTTTACCAAAAGGCTCATTTTTTCTCAGATGATATTTCAGATTTATGACACTAAGTAATAATACATACTACATGATACTACTTGATACCAAGTTGGCATCGAACCCAGTACTAAGGATTGCTAGCCCACGCTTTTACTTCTATATTTATAGAATTATAGTTTTGCGAGTAGTAAGTTACAATAATATTTTTTCAATTCGGTTTTTAAGTTTATATAATAAATAAACGTTTATTTTTATGTCAGTAAATTTCGCTTTTCTCTGATTGTGTAGAGCCATTTATTGTTAAGCGTTTTATGAGCATTAATATTAGGTGACCATATATTTTTATTTCAAAACTGGTATGTATACTTGTAACGAGGCATTTATTTATGTTCAGACTATTTTTGTACTCAATATTATAAATTAAATTCATATATAATATCATTCTTTGCATCCTATTTAAATCATACTGAGCTTTTATTCTCATACAGTAACAAATATTGCTTGTGTCTATTTTAAATCGAGTATTGTTACTTGCCTGAAAGTTATTTATTAAACAAAATATTCTTTCTATAGGAGCGTTTATTCATAAGAAAACTATATTTTTTTCTAATTATTTTTTTGTAAATTTTACAGGGAAAGTTTGCGATAAGGTCCGTGATTATTTATACCCACCTTTGAAATCCACTATATGCACATTTTTTCTGTTTAAATTTTGTAGAAGTAATTGTAGTTAAAATATATTTTAAATGGATATTATAAATGAGTACTTTTTGAAAAATTTGGTTCAATCCGAAACAAATATTGTCTTTAAAAAAATCCGGGACTGTTCCGTGAAATTCAGGGCATTTGGTCACTTTAGTTAGAAGTTCTTGCACTTTTTGGAATCCACAGGCTAGCAATATATTTTAAATGAATATTAGAAATGATAACTTTTCAAAAATTTGGGTCAGTCCGGGACAAATATTGCCTGCAATAAAAACCGGCGACAAATATTGCTTTAAAAAAATCCTAGGAGAAAGGTAGAAATCCGGGACTTTTCCGGATACAATTTATAAAATTATTAGAATAATTACCGAAGAATGATGATTTAAGAGCATAAGACATGCATATATCCTTAAACAACTGACAAGTAATATATTTCTATTATTTTTCTGGATCAATAGTTTGCCAGCTCTCCATCTACCATACACTGATATGTAAACATTCGCGTTATAAATACTTCATATTACCGTGTTGAAAACGTCTACGTATACATGTTCGGCAGTACTTAATATTTGTCTATATAATAACAAATGTATAAGAGATCAGAAAAAAATTACTCTTTGAAGTTTCGCAGAATCCACAATGCAAGAGACTCTAACAAATTTACCTTGGAGCTCGGAAAAGGAGCATTCTGACATTGTGGATATTGCAAAGTAAAGCATAATAGAGAATGGAATGTTTGTTTTGGGTTAATGTTATGTGCGACTATGCATGGATGTTGTAAATATTTTGATAAATTTGCACTCAAAACATTTTACTTATATTAAGCTATTGTATATATTAAGTATATAATTCAATTTACGTATTTTCTTTAATAAAACACGCTATTTTTGAAAAGGTAGTGTTTTATTTTTTTGAAGAACTATGGGACAATTTATACATTCGGCTTATATATATATAATTATACGCAGAATTTTTCTTTTATAATTACAGATAGGTAATCTAAAACACGCACAATAACGGTACAACCTGACATTTACTAAACGAACTATGTTTCTTTTATTCATAATATATGAATATATATATATATATATATATATATATATATAAATATATATATATAGTGTCCCAGATCTCAACGTCAAGCCAAACCAGGGCGATAGTATTATTGACGTTAACGGTCCTGAAAACAATTTAACAAAAATTCTCACGTTGTTTGGAAATTATGAGCTTTTGAGTGCAACCTAGAGCTTTGGTACAATTACGAAAATATTTTGGTTATTGCGGTTGATTTTCATTATTTTTTAAATTTTTTATTAATTTTTATTAATACTTATTAAGTGCGCCAACTTTTTATGAAACTTTAAAAGAGCACCTTTAAAAGAGGGCCTCTTAAGTCGACCGAGTCAAAATTTTGAATTCATAAAAACTTGGGAAAATTGCATTACTATTTTTTTACTGTGGACTTAGAAATGTTATTTATGGTTACGGTTCCAAATATTAAATGAATAAAATTATTAATAATTAACCATAATAAACGAAAAGTGGTCATAACTAAAGCTCTAGGTTGTACATAAAAGCTCATAATTTTCAAACAACGTGGGACAATTTTTTTTCTAAATTTTTTCAGGACTGTTAAGATCAATGACCCCGTTTTGACGTTAAGATCTGGGACACCCTGTATATATGTACTTTTTTACGTATAATTCTGTCACGTCATTGCAATGACTATGTTTTTTGATTCTATATTTATGATTCGGAAAATGTAAATGTTTTGTTTTTCATTTTAATTGCGAAATCTTCAGTATCTTGTCAAAATCTATTGAAAGTTTCACAAATCGTCAAAAAATATGAAATATTTGAAAAAAATTATTAGATGTTACGACATGCCAGAAATCAGTAAATAAAAATATAATAGAGCCATGAAAGAAGTGAAGGACCTAATTTTATTTGAAAATTTCAAAAGCAGCTAATGTGTTTAGTCTTTGGAGCATTTTACAATTCTGGTTCTTTGGGTCTTTTCAAGAAATTTTGCTCGTAAGTAAGTTTCAAGCCAGCTATTAAATTTTCAATATAAATTTCTCTCCAGTATGATTTTTATCTAGAAATTTGTCTTTTTTCGAAAATTGTTGCAGTTAATTTTTTTGGTCATTGGGGCACTTTTAAATTTTGGTTCTTTGGGACTTTTCAAAAAATTTTGTTGAAAAAACTATTATTCGGAAGTAAATTTCGAACCAGCTAAATTTGCAAAATAGATTTTTCTCCAATATGATTTTTATCTAGAAATATATCGTTTTTCAATAATTGTAGCACCTCATTTTTTGGCCTTTAGGGCACTTTTAAATTTTTGTTCATTAGGACTTTTCAAAAAACTTTGTTGAAAAAACTACAGCTCGGAAGTAAATTTCAAACCAGCGAAATTTTTAATATAAATTTTCCTCCGATATTAACGTATTGTATTTGAGACGCGCGAAGAAACCTAATTTGTTTACTAGCCAAATGTAAAAACAAAGTTATATTTATTTCACTATAAGTTATATTCACTAATCGGGGATTTTTTATGTATAAAATGGACCACATTTTGAATTTGGATGATTTGTTGGACATCGTCCAGTCAAATTTAGTAAATTCAACTACCAAAACAAACTTTTTCTGACTTGGTTTGAAATCAACATTACTCTTTCAACAACCCAATAAATAAAAATGATTTTCCAAAATAACTCTAAATATTGTTGTTCCATCACATCGGTCGAAATATTTCGATTAGCATCCATAAATGAATTATAGCAAACACGCATATGTCAGCATTTCGGGGCTTGATGGATATCAGTCGATCAAAGTAAATTGTAGATGGTGCAATGTATCATTATTGATAACAAGGACGTAATCAAATAGCAAGACAATCAGTAACATTTATTAAATTATGTATGCCTCTGAATTATGTACAGCTGGTAATTGAGCGATTCAATCACATGGAA